ATGGTCCGTTCCAAGGTCCTCTTGGAGTCCTCAGTGCATTTTTTGGAGCGCCTCAGAGTTCCTTTCAGGAAGTCCAGAACTGAGTCTCTCATTCGGGTTTCTCTGGAACTCTGGGATCAGCCTGAGTATTGGGTTGAAACTTGAAGGTGACTTGCAGGTACCATGCTTACTCCTTGTAGATCCAAGTCCATAGACAGACTCCCCAGTCTATTAGTGGATTTGCAGTTGTCAGCTTGTGGGTGAGCAGAGTGGGAAAAATAGGGATATTGCCACCAAAGTGACCTCTCCTGTTTTAACAAACTCCTCCTGGCTACATGCCCGCTGTTTCTCATCCCTTATCTTGAAAACTCCATCAAGAAGGGCGTGGAGAAGGGACAGTTCAAATATAGAAAATGATGGCTTTGAATACAGTACTTTAATCTTTCTGGGTATTAAAATAAAGGCTACATTAGGTGACCGCTGGAGTTGTCTCACCTCTAACAGTTTGCGATCCTGAGTCCAGCATGTTTCTAACCTTTGGGGAAGCAGGCAGAGCCAGCTTCACAACTGTCCTCAGTCCCTGTGGGGTTGGGCGTGGGGGTTGTAGGAACAAGGACAGGCTGCTGTGCTTGAGCCGGTGGAGCCGGTGCTTCCCTCCTGCGGTCCCACCCTGAGTCAGACTCATGGACTGCGTGCATTAGTATACCACAAAGTGAGTCCCTGCTCTTTAAAAATTTCCTCTAGACCCTTCCTCTAGGGAGCATTCCAAGACCTGGAAATGCAAGAGGAGAGCTGAGCCATGTACTGTGTTCCCAGTAGGGAGCAGTTTCTCTCATCTTGGTGAATTAGGGAAGTGAACTACCTCTTTTGTTCCCCGCTAATTCAGACTCCCAGGTAAAGATACTCAGAAATATCTCTACTCTCAATGGAAGTGGTAAAGTAAGGAAATGATCTGGAAAATCTTAAGAAGAAAAAAGACCCACTTGCCTCAATTTTTTGTAGATTCTGGGTATATAATACCATATGGCTATAGTTATAGAGTTAATTAAAATAACAGAATCCGATACAGGAATTCGAGCTTACAAATCCTTTGACCCAGTCTTCTTGCTTTATGGAGGGAAGACTTGAGCCAGGACACAGTTGTCAAAAGCTGGCACTGGGTTTCTTTCTATGGAAGCCTTCCAGTTGCACCCATCCTTCTATTCAGTGCTTCCTCTGTGTAGGCACGCACAGATGACATCCTGTATGAACTCTACTATTTTGGGGTTCCAAAGGACAGATGAGTCCCCTTGCCATCTTTATATTTGAAAGTAAGTATTGGTGCTGTTCCCAAGGTGGGCAGCTGTGACTGAAAGACATTCTGGGTCGGGGCGAAATAGGAGACCTGTGCTCTGTTTAGCAGTTGTGACTCTGGTGTAGCTTTCGGCAACTCATGTTTGTTCCTTTAAGAGGTATGCTTTTCAGACATACTGGCTAGAAGGACAGGTCTCATTTCCCAGGTGCAGGGCCAGCCGGTTACTCCTGTGCTGAGCGCCCGTGCACCGCAACCAGTGCCTTCCGCCTGACAAAGCAGGGTTGTCATTGATAAGTGTTTATGTTGCACTTTAGATTTCAAAGTTCTTTGAATTATTTGTCACCTCCATTTGGGAGGTGGAGAAACTCAAGCCCGTGTAAGTAGTGACTGTCCAGAGTCATGTAACCAATTACTGCTGAATCTGGTATTGGTTGCAGAGCCCTGAGATTCTGGGTCATTGCTTACCCCAGTGAGCCATGCACCTTCTCCAGATTATGTTCTTTGCCCCTCATCAACTTCTTTTTCTTCAAATTTAGCTAGCTCCTTTTAGAGTGAGCCACAGAGCTTTCCCGTTTCAAGGCTATAGTGTACTTCCTTGGTGGGCCAGAAAGCTGTAGGCACCTAGGTAAGCTCCAGTGTGGGGCCCGTCCTAGGACAAACTGAGCCGTGCTGTGGTGCCAGCAGAGGGAGGGAGTAGGACTTCTCTGTTCAGATTTTGGGAAAAGATCAGTGCTGTTTTGGGAATATTAAAGAGCTAAGCATTGGAAAGGGGATAAAGGGTTTAAGTTAACTGATTGGCTATTGTTTAAAGAAGTTAAAAAATCCAACTAAAAAGACATTTAAAATTTTGCATTGAAATAAAAAGCCTTTGAAAGGCTTTGGGCCTCTTGTTCAAACTTCACTAGTTGAATCAGAGAGGCACTTAATTGCCAGTGATGCAGAGAGACTTCAGGGAAGACATTGAAAACTTTTACAGTAGAAATTCCCACAAGAAATCTTACCATCTGTTTATTCAATCCATTTTTTCTCTACTTTGGTGTGTGATTTTTTTTTTATTTTAAATGTCTTATTGCCCGTTTGACTTAAATTGCATCTGTTAAGTACAGATGTTGGAGACAAGTATCTGTTCGAGATGTTGGATGGAGACAAGTATCTGTTCGCCTGTCTTTACTCAGTATTCTTTTTCAATAAAATTTCTCCTTTGCTCTCGCACCCCGCCAGTTATGCATTTACTTAGCAGATGAGCAGTTGTGTGTAGAATACTCGGTAGTTTGCCTTACCAAACATTCCAAGCAGCCTTTTCGATAGTGGTAAGTGTTTTGTTGCAGGTTTACATACATAGTACAGGCAAAACAGGAAGCAGCCTTTTCTGGGTAGGATGCTCCGAGCCGCCCTCCACTCTCCGAGGGAGCACTCTTCAGCTGACTGAAGCAGGGAAGCTGGGCCAATCAGAGGCCGCTTTCCTAGCTCAGTCACCAGTCTGTGGTTGAGGAAGGGTTTGGCTTTCTTATGCTCTGTATTGGGCAGGCAGATAAAATGCCAGGACTGAACTGCCTCTGGGGATAACCTCACCCCCCTGTGATGTGAATGAATAGCAGCTGGCCTGGTAAATCCACAGGAATTGATAAGGCAGGTGCAGTTCCTCCAAAGAGGCCTTTTCTATCTTTTAGCTCTAGCTGTGGCTTCTGTAGCAGTTTTATTTTTGCCTTGAAAGAGGTGCTCTGGATTATCAGACCTCCATGTATGACAGTTTGTATCTGCATGGAATTGAAGACTCGGAGGCTGTAAGTATTTTCATAGATAGTTGATTCCCTCTCCCCTCCTCTTCCTCCTCCCACTACCCCCCACCTCCCGATTTCTTAGGCAACGCAGGGAACATGGAGCTGAAAGCCCACATCATTCTTCGGGCGCTTGCTGGCTGCTGTGTAAATGTTCTCTGTATAGTTTAGAGTTAACTGAAATTATTCTTTATTATATAATTTTTTGCCAAGCAGGAAAGAAAATTGGGTGATAGCAAAGACATCTACGAGTGTAAGCTGTTTGGATTTGTGCATTACTCGATGCACATTTGATCTCACAAGAGGTAACTGCTCCTTGGAGACTGGCTTGAACTATGCAGAAAGTGCCTGTGTTTTTCAATAGCAGGGCTCATAGAAAAGCCTCATTCATTATATAATACACATTGTGTATTGAGCTAGCATGAATGAAAGTTCCTCAGCTGTAGCTGTATTATGTGCTTTCTGACCAAACAAGTGGTGCAGATCTACTGCTTCTTTGTTAAGGAAATCAGATGCAAAGGTTGTGGTCATATAACACCCAGTGCAGACGCGTGGAGGGTAATTTCTGCGCTCTGCTCTGGGAGACTGGAGTAGGCTCACGTGTATTTGGTCTTAGGCAACTAGACTCCTTTCCCTGCATGGGTCAGGTGCATGTAATCTCTTCATATCAGGATGAAAATGGTTTTCTGAGATCCCTAAAACCATACCATCCAAATCGAGCCTTTGAATATAAGGTAAAGCTGATTACTGAGTCTTTCTTTTACTATTGCTGGTGGTAGTTCATTTTTCATCGATTTTGTAGAAACCTTACAAGGTAAAATGATTTGGGGTGGCTAATAGGACTACTGTGGGGAGTCTGAATTTTATGAATGCAATGCAATGCATTTGGTTACCTTTGAAACAGGAATGTGTTATATAAGGTTCTCTGGCTAAACCACCAAATAAACAGATTATAACAGCAGCAACAATAAAAAACCCTTAATGATACATGTCAGTGCAGACGTATGTATCAAGTGATGTACTGTCCATGAAAGAGAAAGCCTCTGTTCTCATAAGGCATTCCATTTTTCCTTCCTGTCTGTGTGTTAGCTCTAACTCTCACTCTGTTTGCGCAAAGTCTCTCTGCGTGTTGCCCAACGTGCTTGTAAATTATCAGACTGTCAGTTTATTGGCAGGGGCTGTAGTCTGAAACATTGGTGACTGTATGCAGAAGGTACACGCTTGCAAGTGGGGTGGCAGGATGGCAAATGCAACTATAGGAGTTCAGTAAACTGGCTTCCCTGACTGGGTTCTCCAGGAGGCCTGATTCTTTCTCATACCCCTTCTCTCCACACTCAGTTATGAAACATGTGATGCCTTATTGAATTGTAACTTTTATTTTTGGCTATGGATTTTAAACTTGGACACTGTTGCTTGTTAAGTGGATTGGAGTTATTTCAGCATAACCGGGTATTTCAGAAACTGACTGCTAAGAACAAAGTCAGCTAGGAACTAATGTACCCAGCACCTAGTTCTCCAGAACTGTATAAATTTTGGATGCACTGGTTCAGAGGGGAGCCATTATAAGTATGGAAACATTTTTCCCCCGTTTTAGGTCCAGCCTCACAGGACAGCTGAGTTTTCCTGTGCGGTGGGAAGGGACAAGTGCACGTGCTTGCCTCAGTAGTGGTGCTTGGTGGCTGTGGTGTTAGGTGCTGCGGTACTAGGCTCTGGTGACTCAGTGGTGGCCAACAGGCTGAGGTCCTCAGGGCTGTGCACATCCGTGGAAACGAGAAAGGTGGGAATCCAAGGAATGAAGGAGGCATCTGGCCAGTCCTCAGTTGAAAGCACGGGGGGCTCTCAGATGGGTGGGATCGAAAGTGTGTCACCTAAATCAGAGGGGAAGGCATAGGTGTTTGGAGGGGTGAACTGACTCAGAATGCTCATTTGAGTTTATTTGTTTTTATAAGGAAGAATAATGTGATGTGTTACCCAAGATGGTGTGAACAAAGCTTCAAGCCAATGGAGAAGACTAGGCCTAAATAGCTGACCTGGTGAAGTGAGAAATAAAGCCACACCTGGAGTGCCACATCCTCAGCAGTCTTTCTCAGTGCCAATGCATTTATGGCTGTAAGTGTGGGGTTTGCCCAGATCCAAGCAAAGCTCTCGGATCAGGTCTGGTGAACAGGCATGGAGAGGCATTTTTCTGGTGACTAGCGACTGTCCGAGACTATCCAGGCACTAAGCGCTGAGTTCGGCACTTCCTTCTGGGGGTTGTGGAGCCATCCGTACACACCCTACTACCCTGTGCTGTTGAGAGTGTCTTTGCGGGGTGTGTGGGCTTTAACATGAGATAAGTGATTATATTCATTGTGTTCATAGTAAGCCTGTAAGAAGATCACATCGCTTAGGGACATATATTTTATTCTGAGTAAGAATAAAGCATTATTTTATACTGTTAGCACTCACATCCCTGCAGTATGAGAGAGACTTTGGTACTGTGATGGAAGGTGTTTCCTAAGAGTTTTGTCTACTGGTAGATGTTCTACTCCCAATACCCTGGATTTTCACTAGTAACCTTGGTATTTCATGTACTGTATATATAAAGAGAGGAACAAGAGCCATTGGGGAACACTCCTGAGTCTGGGTATTTTAGATTCTGAGTCCTAGGGAGGCTTTTTGGACAAGTCCATTAACTTCTGCTGTGGTTTGTAGGAGAGTGGTTAAATGTCAGCATCATTCAGCATTATAAGAAGCGCGAAAGATCACTCAGTGCCCCCGAGCAAGGTCTGCTTATAAATGGGTATTTCATGCAGAATGTCACATTACTCCTATTGTTTCTCTGACATGGATAATGGAGCATGTGCTCCATCCAGAAGGAGTCCATGTTAGACCAGGCCAGTTACAGTGATCATGCGCACAGACTCTCACTGCATTGTCTCTGTTGAGGGTTACCCCGTTCCACCTTTGCTGCCCCCACTGGGTCTTGCTTGCTACAGGTCCAGGTGACCTAGTAGATTATTTTTATTGACTGAGCCCCTAATATACATTATGTATTTTTTAAACTGCTTCACAATAGATTTTGATAGATCTGCTCCTTGGTATAGATGTTCTTTTTGAATGGATTCATTGTGTGTTTTGATGTTTGCGGATTCATGATTAGAATAGTTTTCTTTTTTCATTCATCAGGTTTATTACACAAACTAACTGTAACTCTGTTTCCACAAAGTCTCTCTGCGTGTTGCCCATAGGAGGCATATTCTTATAGGAATAAATCAAGGAAGCAGATAAATAGGAAAAGTTACCTGAAATCTATCCACAGAATAGCTGTTAATGTATTGCTCTGTAGCCTTTCAGAGCATCAACATACATATATGAGCAATATAAATGAAATACAGTTTCTTAGAGTATTTTGTAAAGTGAAGCCATGGTTATCTGCACATAGAACTGATAGTTGATTTCTCTGACACAGTTGCTTACCATTCCAAATGTTTAAATTCTAAAGTATTTAGAGAGAGACTTGATCTTTTTCAGTGAAAAAGATGATCAGATCGTAATTCAGGATGTTTACCTGAAAGAAAAACATATTCTTTTATTTGTTTTCAATCATAGAAAGGAGCCACTATATTCTTCTTATTACAGTTAAAAATGTTACAGACGTAAAAGTTAAAGTGAAGGTGAGTTTTACAAACAACGTGTGTGCAGTATCTCTGTGTACATCTAAAGCACATGCTTAAACTCATATGTACCTATACATTATGAGAAGGGTAACTGTGATAATTACTTAAGCTCTTCATTTTCTGTAAGCTGTGTAGCTATGTATGTTTGCCTGAATGTTCAAGCACCCATGGGAGTCCACATAAACATAATGCACACCCTCATTCACATTCACACATTCATACATAGACATGCTCTGTGCTTCGCTAATTGGTAGTTAAGGCTCAGATTTTTTTATTGTTTTTTTGCCATAGAGCTTTTGGATTTTTGCCATAGAGCTTTTGGAGAAAGAAAAATTAACTGCTTTGGACATAAAGATACCTTGAAAGGGTTGAAAGGCAACATATCCACAAGAAAATAAAGGGCTGCCACTTTCAAAGACATTATAAGCTTATTATGAATATGAAGATAGGTCCTTGCCCTTGGTAGGCAGGAGGGTGACTTCAAACAGAAGGCTTTATGTGTTTAGGGGGCTTTGGTAAAACGCCCCAGGGATATTAAGGATCAGGTTTCTTTTGGAAATGAGAAGACCAGAGAGGCCTTTATGATTTGACAGATCAGAGGACCTTCTGGGGTCAGAAAGTCTCTCTGGCCTGTTTCTAGAGACTGAGGCCTGTTTTTAAAAAGAATCCAAGGTATGGATGTTGGCCTCACTGGCCAGAGAGGAAAACCACATGCTGCTCATGGTTTATGTAAGAAATTTGACTGAAAAAACCAATTTGCTTTACTCAGCAGAGTGATTTTGGCATTTGTCCAGAGGATAAGTAAATGATTAACTGAAGCTTTTCTTCAATCCCTAATTTTTATCAATGATGGTTTTCTAAAACATATGTTGAAATAATTTCTAGGTATAATTGTCAAAGAGCTAAAGAGATAAATTCCTTAAATCTGATCAGAATCCATGAATTTGCCTCTCCAAGGCCATTAGTCTTGACACTTTCTTGGTAATCTCCATTTTCAAGTGACAGAGGGAAGTATTTGGATCAATCCCCTTTCCCCAGAGGCTTCTGTATCTCCTTGCCTCCTGTTAGACTATGGCGAACCAATCTGGACTTGAGAGTATAGTCTTGTGACTCCATATGTACTTAGTGAACATGACATTATTCGATGGTGCAAGATATTCTGTAGGAAGGTCAGCAATGAGTATGAAAAAACATGCTTTTCAGGGTGAAGATGGGCAGGCGTCCCATAGCCTCAGCCCTTCCTTTTCAATCAGAGTTCAGCGTGGACCTTTTTATGTATGGTCTGTTCTCATCGTTCTGTTCACCCTCTGCCTTTCGTATCCCTCACTTAGGTAAACCGAGCCTCCTGAGGGGGGCAAGAAGACATGACTGAACTGATTGTCTTGTTCTCTCTCTTCCCTCTCCCACGAGTCCTTTCGAATGACCATCAAGTCCTGAGCTCAGATATTCATTATGCTAAGTTAAAAATTGTATCAAGAAAGCTCTGTAGATATAGAATCTGCACTGATCCAAACCACACTGATTTAGGTGCCTTTAATGTGTTTGCATCAGGCCACGAGGACTTTAAAAACAGCAGTTGACGCTCTGGCGAGGCCACACTGAGTAGATGCAGATGATCTTGCTAATCGAGGAGAGTAGGCCATTGCTTCGTGTGTAAACTCAAGGGAGTTTACAGTTCACATAAAATAATGGCAAGCAGAGTGGGAGCTGGAGATTTTTATGCCTTGGACTTCAAACTTTTTAAGACTTTGAAGAGTGTTAGTCTAAGCTAAAATTGTGTGGCCATTTTTATAGAACTTATAGGTTTTCTACAAGGAAGGTGACTCAGGTAACACATATTTTTTGAGATCTCAACAGAACAACACTTGTTCTCACTCTTCATTTATATATATTTTTATAACATCAATATGTAGTTTTCGTAATAAATATTTTTCTCTTTTAAATGGTGCCACAATACCAGTGCTTTCTACATCCTCTTTTTTTCTTTTGCATCTATTCAAGAAATACTGAAAGGTCTTAAATTTGAAACAGGATGTTTTGAGTTTACTTTCAGCTTTTTTGTTCAGGGGAATTGATCTAAGGGATACATTCTAACATGAATGTTGGCAACTGTCAGTTATTCAGGAGCTTGACTGTGGAGTTTGTGAATACCTCAGTTATCTTATTTTGCCTTTTTAATTTGTATTACTCCGTAATCTCTCACCTTGTTTTAGCGTGAGCACCATGGAACAAAAAGAGTTTCTGACCTTCCATGTTATTTCCTTAGTGGCAGATTTGTTGAAAAGTTTGGAGACTTATAAGGTTGTAGTCAATAGTGTTTCTCCATCTTTTTTAACCTCCATAAAACTTTAAAAATTTTATCTTCTACTTTGCATGCCCATCATCCAAGAAAATGTCAAGTTTACTTTTTGCACATTATATAATGAAACAGCAATGCAGCGTAATAATGTCATGATAAAAGCAGAGACTCAGTGCAAGATTGCTAAGGATTAAGTCCTGGCTCCCCACTTCCTAGCCTGTGGCCCTGGCACATTTCTTAAACTTTCTGTGCCTTGCGTTTCCACATCACTGAAGTGGCAGTAATGATGGAACCTACATCTTGGGTGGTTCTGAAAATCAAATCAGTTGATATGTGTAAAGTCCTTAAAACATGTGTTTTCTGTTATTATTATTATACAAACAGTGGATGTACTTATGCTTTTGGAAACTGAACATGCCCCTTCCTCTGCAAGTTTTGATATTCCCACCACATCGTTTGGTTTGTTTTCAGAGCACTTCCATGGTTTTTGACAGTGATTTCCAAATATGTTGTAGCAGTTGACAAGTCAAAGGATGTGCTTATCTCCTCAGGCCTTCTGGTTATTTTGTTGCATTTTGTTTCAGGAAAGGGAGCTGTAGAGTGTAATTGAAAAAACACCAGGAGTTGAAAGTCTTAGCTTTGCCACTTAACAGCAGTGACTATGGGCAAGTCATTTAATCTCTTGGTATCCTCAAATTTCCCTCCTATAAAGTGAAGATGTTTAACTAGATCATTTCTGAGGTTTATTCACATCCACAATTCTGTTCTATTTGCTGATAAGTAATTTCTTCAGTTTCAGTACCAATGCCACCACATGCCATTTGTTTTCTGCAATGATCAATTACCATAATATTTTGTGGCTAGTGAGTATGGTGTCAGTATATGCTCCTTTTCAGAACCTTTGAAGGAGAAAGGTGTGAAAGGTGCACATCTTTAAGAGGACTAGATGTTTTTTTTTATTAAGGTATTGTTGATATACAATATTATTCTCAGGTTTCACATGAGCAGCACTGTAGTTACAGCATTCCCCCCATTATCAAGTCCCCACCACATTCCCCGTTACAATCACTGTCTATCAGCATAGTAAGATGCTATAAAGCCACTACTTGAAGAGGACTAGCTATTTGAAAAAGGAGGTGCTTTATTTAAGA